AATGTAAATTTAGCTATAGGATGGAGTGAGTTCATTTGTAGATCAGTTTAATCAAATGTGCCAGTCTGTGAAACTGAATAATATACTACATACTCTCTGCATTTTATAGCAACAGCAAAATTCCTTTACAAAGTATATACAGAAAAAAGAAATGCAGCACCAACAACCTCCAAGTTCATGGGGTCTTTAAGGATTCCTATATTATTATTCTTTATTGCTAGCCTCTGAAAGATTTGGAATATCAATTCATGTCATGAATTAGAATTTATAGAATCAGAACTAGTGGAAGAGATATGAAAGTTACTGAAAATTGCAGGGCTTTCTTACTAGCCTAGAAAAAAAACATTGCAGGCAATTACCTTGGCCCAGTTTCTTTGTCTGAAACATAAAATCTGAGAATAGCACAAAACCAAGGGCATTCCTCTGCAGATTTGCCCTTACTCTCCCCATCTCTGTACTTTTATTCCTGGCAGCCTTTCCTATTGTAGCTGCTTGTACTCCCTGGGGCAGAGGGGCAGAGCAGGAAGGATAGTGGTTTGGAAGGGAGGGAGGAACAAGGAGGGGAGACTTGGACCTATTCAGTAGCTCTCCTTTGGGTATTTAGAGAGAAAAGAGTTATTTTGTAGCTATCATAGCAGAAATTGGATCTTTGGGAACAGTAGCGCTTGGTGGTTTTTATAACCTCGTGCAGCGGGTTCCAAAACTTCAGGGCCTGTCAGTCTACTACCATGTTACAGCAGCTCTTGTGGACTGCTGTCCTGCAGCACTTCATGTTGAAGTCTCACTGACAGCACAGTCACTTAATGTAACTTGGGTGCTCTTTGCAATTTTGAGGATCAGCTGCAGATCATTTTCTGTGGCTGCAAGACCACAGCAGTCTGGATTAGAACTGTATCTTCATGGTAATTAAACCAAATGGACTTCTGAGGAAACTCAGAATTATTTTGTAGTCATATAGGAGCCCTCCTAGTGTAGCATTATAAATAGTTTATGCCCTTGCTCCTAAACATAAAAGATAGGACCCAGAGACAGAGTGGAAGGATAGCAGGGCACATCTTTGTTACGAACTGTTGGTTATATTGGCTTCAGCAGATCTCTGGCAGTTGTAGTGGCTGAAGCTTTACTGTTTTAGGGATGCTTGGGGTCACAGAGAAAAATCAGTGGCAGAACAAACCTAGCAAAAATTCTCTGAACATCTTTATCTGTTGTGTTAGTTGTAAAACCATCTTTTCTCTGTTCTATCTGATCTTTTCTAACCTTTCATGTGAGAAAAACCTTGCAGGTTATCTGATAATGTGCTTGTGGTTTGGACAAGTTTCATAAAACCTGGGATACCTGCAACAGTTTTCAGTCTGTGAACATTTAGATTTTTGTTCATGTTGCATTTGTAAGTGTTTTCAGTGCCTCACAAGAAGCTGATGGAAGCTACGTAAAAGCAAAATTTAGACAGGCTGTAGATCAAATCATGGAGCCATCACTGGGCCTTTGAGTAGAAATCTGGCACTTTCTCCATCGTACACGTTGCAATTAGCAAGATCAGTCATTTTGTGGGGCTTGGTACTTGCTGCTTTGGGGGGGGGGGGTGTT